AAGCTCCTTTGAATTGGACATGGAGAGGTAGTTAGAAATAACAAGTGGAAGCTGACTGGTTCATGCAGGGTGAGAAAGGTTCTTGGACTTGAAATAAAATCAGCTGAGAAATAAGCTCGGAAGGGAAGTGAAAGAAGCCCCATCATTTGAAATACTGTAACACAAGTAGACAAAGCACTCAAAAATGCACGGCAGGGAGCAGTCTTTTTTTGGCAGGGAGCAAGGCTTGGATGAACTCATGGCTTCTTTCCCTCTCTATTAGAATCACAGAATCCAAGGGCTTTCTCAGAGCAGCAGCACAGCCAGCTCAGAAGGACTGCCCAGTCTTGGCATTGTAGTGTTGGTTCGTACCACTCTGCGTGCATAGGCCCCTGCAGATTCCCAAAGCAATAGTTAATAGCTGCTGACAAACTCTCTGATTAGTGTGAAGTACTAGCAAGCTGTGCAGTATATTTTGGAGAGTTTTCATCACTAAATGGATCAGATCTAAAAAGGAGCATTAACAAAATTTTCAGTTTCATGTAAGATAATTGGGCAGAAAGACATTGTTACTGCATTTTGGTACCACTTTGCTCCACAGTAATTACAGTGCCCAGTTAGTTAAGGCCGGTCAGATTTTTGTTCTGAACTCAGATTTCAGTCCTGCTTTTCCATAGTAAGCATTTGATTTAAAGAAGATGAAATCAATGTATTAAATTTTAACAAGAAAAGAAGTTTGGCATATACTGGTGGTGTAGCTGCATTCCCTATTAAACCCAGTAGCCAGACTTTGAAACATAGGCAGCTATTTCAGCTGTACTTCTCCAGTGAGAGGCTTTTTAAAGAAAAATTTCTTAGGAACCAGTGGAAAAAAATATGAAAAATATACTCTCCTATACTATTCTATGTAAATATTATGGATTCATTGCATATCGTCATTGCTTATAGATTTGCAGCAGTGAAACAATTCTTAAACATCTTTTCTCTCTCCCCTCTCCAGTGAGACATTTTGATGGGAGACAAACTCCATGTCTGCCCTACGTTGGGTCTCTCATTTATGTTTTCCCTCTCACCTTGGCTGCAAACCACCAGAAGGTGAAAAAGTATCTTTAACACCCAAGGGCAGCATGTTTTCTCCCATCCACTTGATTTTCAGGCTCTTTGCCCAGGCTGGCTCTAAAGGCAGCAGAAAGCAGTGGGAAGGCTCTGTACTCACTTTTTATTTTCACTCCCAACAAAGAACAGCTGGATCGCTGCAAAGAAACAGGACTTGCCCTTTCTGGACCTTTGCTGCCTGGGAGCACATTATGATTATTTGTGAATTTGGAGAGGCTTTACTAACATTACCCTAAGGAGGCTGTAAGGAGCCATGGGCTTCTTTGCCAGCATCACCTGGGTAATTCAGGGGTGTTGTTCTCACCAGGCTGGTGGCCCCTGTGCTCTGCATTTTCAGCTTGCCTACCACACCAGCCTTGACAGCAATGCTGTTCACTCAAGAGGGAAGCAAAGAAGTTTTCAATCATGTCTGCTGTGTTTGTCAGTGGAATAATGTAAATCTCTTGGGGAGGAGTAGGAACAATTGAATTATTTTATGCTGAGGCACAGTAAAACTCATTTTAAAAATTATTGCCTAATGCCCATAATTTATTCATAGTATCGAGTCCCAGTAGAGTTAGTAAGACTATTATGCACTTAAAATTAAGTATGCACATAAGAGTTGGTAACATCAGAATCTCATGTTTTACTCAGAGTTTTTTAAATCTCTTTGTGGCAAAATATCTTTTATTATTTTGGATTTGTTAGAGGTTTAACAGCATGTTCCCAAACGGATTGTGAGCTTAGCAGTAACTTTTAAAAAAGGAATGCAAGGGTTTGAGTGCTAACAGGGCCCTTGCAGAAAACCTCCAGGAAATGCTGTTTCTATGTTTAGTGCACTGCCATGAAATCTCCATAGGGATGTGAGGCAGTAAGCACAGAGTGGGAGAGGTTTAACAGAGCTGGAAGCTGAGAAATTGCACCTTCTGGATCATCATGTGCTAAAAAATCAGATGAGGTTAAATGAAATAGGTGGAGAAGGGAAGGAGAAGAACATGCTAGTGATAATAGGAAGAAGGTGGTAAGCACAGATGCTGAGAGCAAAGAGGAGATTTTCAGATTTATGACTGTTAGTTCATTTCCAGTAGTCACTCCATTGACTATTGAATGTATCACTTTATTATATGTGATTTTTTGCCAGGCCTGGAGTTCAGCAACACTTCACAGAGGCATGTCTTACTGATGGGAAGGGAGCAAAGGCCAGCAGTATCTCTGGGCAGCTGGACAGTTCAGGCAGACATTTTTCCTGCCCCAGAGGTTTTGTGATGCTGTTACCCAAATACATTTCTTTTTACACCTACCTTGAATTATATAAAGTGCTTCCTGACCTTGGTTACACCATCACTCTTAATAGTGGTTATGGCTGAGGTTTTTTAAATTGTCTTTAAGATTTTCTCTGTTTGACAAATGTTCGTAGATAATAGGTAAGAATTAATTAAAGGAGGTAGCAATTGCTTGAGATGATTAGCTTCCAAGAACAGCTACCTGTCTGCACATACCTATCAAAAGTTTGGAGATGTCAGTTGTTTGGAAGAGCCCAGTTAAAGGCATTTTACATTTTACAGTGCATTTTACAGAACAAAGGCAGAAATATATAGGCATTAGTAACCACTGAGTTTAGCAATATTTGATTTCATTTCAATATGCAGTCATTTTTAACACCTTTGCAGCATGCTCCTAAATACCTATCGTTTGTCTTCCATTCCAACAGCAGCACAAGAGTGGCTGATGTAGACATACCCTTTACAGATGAGCATTAATTCAACCTTGCCTATACACATTCTAGTGCAGCTCCTTTGGCCTGGGTTTCTCCTGCCCTGTGTCCCTGGCTGAACAGATGGATGTTGTAGTTCACTGATCTTGCTGTGAATCCAGTGGTGACCCTACTGCTCTTCAGCTGGTGGGAGTCTCAGCAGAAAATGCAGTAGAAAACAGGGGCACATGTGCACACCTGTAACATAACAGAGGTGTAAAAGAACAACACAGTGGAAAACAAGGACAGTATAACATTCAAGGTTAACACACAGAAGTGGTAATTAGTGCTTCTGGCTCTGTCTGGGAGTTTTGTGGCAGTTAAACGAACATTGGAAGGTGGTTCATGTAACACACTGCACACTGTGCCCCACTCACACATCCTTTTCCTCCCAAAATGAGTCATTCACTGGAAAAACAGTCTGAAATTGCTGGGTATCTGGGTTTTATCTTTCTGTTAGTGTGAGGAGCTGTTCACACTGACGTGCAGTGTCTCAGGAATTAGCCCTGCCCCATCCATCAAGGTTGAGAGACTTCCCAGAACTGCAGATAAATCATTATTCACTATTCCTGCCTTGACCTCAACAGTCCCAGCTTTTATAGAAGTCTCTTGGAGCAAAGAAACAGAAAAAAAAGCTAATCTTCTCCTTTATATTTAGAGGCTGAACTTGCCAAAGCTTTGTTCTTCTCCAAAGGGACCACTAGCTGAGGTCTCTCTGTGTCTCATCCCTCCTTTCGCAAACTGAGCATTGCAGTTCTCTGTCTATAAAAAGGCCTCAAAACAGTCTGAAAAAGATCTATCAGGCCTGCTGCTAACACAGCACAGTTTTATGATCAGCTTAACTGAATCCAGGTCTCCACCCATCTGCTCCTAGCTGTCTTCTCTTCTAATGTTTCATCTTTACCTTTTACAGGGCTGTTTCTTAGGCATCTTGTGTTGGGTTTTTTTTTTATTTTCTAATATCGAGAGCTAAGGGGAGGAAAGAGGTAAGAATAGCTCTTCAGACACAAGTCCAGAATTTGCTTGGTTAAGTGGATTATGAATGATCACGAGTGGGAAGTTTAAGGTTTT